TTTTTTTTTTTTTTTTTACCTGAATTTTGTTTTTAAGAGAAATGAGAACCTCATATGAAGATATTCGTTTAAAATTTCGATCGAACAGTTTAATGTCCTCATAAGTGGATATCAGGCCCTTGTAGAACAAAATTGATTATTTTGGTTTAAATAACCCAAAATTGATGTCCACATATGTGGACGCCAGGTCCTAGGAGGTTAAGAGAGATATGCAAACCATGCAGATGCATATATACATTTCTCATAATACCAGAGTAAATGCCCTCCTTTGCAGTTTAAACAAAATGATACTAGCTAGATATGTAACTTGTTTGATTTACGTATTTATTTTATGTATTTATTCATGTAACATTATAAAATTGTGGCTTTATTGCTGCTACAGTATTACATCAAACTACCCTCCAGAGGTCTTGTAGGAATCTAGAAGCTTACATGGAAACCTTCGTGTTTTCTTTGCTAAATCATGCAGCAGACCTTTACTTCACGATTAATCCTGTCTAGCAAGTCTGTCACGCAAGCTCAGTCGGTGTTGTGCTGCCATAACTCAAATGAACAAACAACTTATTATATGAAGTTTATAAAACAGGCGACAAATACAGAAAAAAGAAATTTCTGCGATTAAAGAGATACTTTGTCAAAGTAATTATTTTGTCAAGCAGTCTGTTTTTTTTATTCAAAACATATTCTCATAATGCAAACCGTGCCGCAGGCTAATGTCACCTTAAAATACTTAAGAAGGGAAAACAGCTTCAGGGAATAACTAGTAAAACTGAACAAACACTTCTTCAAAGGTCAATCACTTTTGTCTGTAGATCCAGACGAGATGTCACTTTTCTGTTTAAACTCACTTTGCATAATGTTCACCGTTGAAGTTCATAAAACTTCTGCAATAAATATAAGACATGGGAAAGTACCACAGACACGGTTTTCTTGTTCTAATGCTCTGAGATTTTGAGGTAACCACTGCACTACATGTTTTCCGTTGGATAATTTGAATAATACTGGCTTTATCTGTTTCTGTCTCATTGAGTCCCCCAGCCAAGTCTTACCATTCATGTTCATTTTTCGTTTCCATTCATGAAATAACAAGCATAGTGAAAAACACAATGGGGAAAAAATACAACAACAAAAAAAAAGGCCAAAATGTTAATTATTCTTCACTTTTAAAATGCAGGAGGTAGTATGTGTGCAAAAACCACACTTGTAGACACAGCTGTAGAAGTAGCCCCAGTCATAAATAGGAGTTATTACTACAAAAAGCTATTAAACTCACTAAAGGCCAAAAAGATAAACACATGAATGCAGTTACTTTCTAATTAGTAAAGCACATTTTACATTTGCAGTAAAAGTGGAAATCCGATGAAAGCTTTGGCTTAATGTCTGTGTTTAGAAAATCCTATGCAAATTTGACGGGTTTTTTTGTGAACAGCAGTCACGCAGTTTGTCACCTGTGCTGTCACAACACTTTGAAACATTAAATGTGTTCATGAAAAAAGTGAGTTATTATTTGCAACAAGATTTTCATAGTGGTTAGCATATTCGTGCAGATAAGACAGGTGTTCACCAGGGCTTCAGTCACGAAAGTAACATAAAGAACCCTCTGTCAGAGGCTAAATGCTGTGCAAAGGACAGAGTGTTTAGCTCTTCTTAACATGCAAAACATCTTGTGGCATACTGGACACAGC